GTTTATTTCTTAAATAGACTGTTTGTGTATATACCAGTGTCTACAGATATGTGTGATAACCGAACGGGATATATATACCGACGTTGCAGCAAGCGGAACGTTAGTTAGATCGATCTATTGCCCGTATACCGTGTCGCGTGCTAGAAGTCGTCGTCCTTACCACCCGCCGCTTATGACGACACTGGTGCAACACTACAAGCTTCTAATCGATACCACCGCCGACGTGGCACAACAGACACAACCTCCAGGCCACTGATTGTACAGATTATTATACACATTATTTCCAAAAATATTAGCAAAAGAACACAACACAACAACACAACTACCCAACACACGGCAAGGTAGTAAAAGAACACAACAACACAACTACCCAACACACGGCAAGGTAGTAAAAGAACACGACACAACAACACAGCTACCCAACACACGGCAAGGTAGTAAAAGAACACAACAACACAACTACCCAACACACGGCAAGGTAGTAAAAGAACACGACACAACAACACAACTTACCAACATCACAACTCCCCGACACACGGTAAGGTAGTAAAGAACACAACAACACAACTACCCGACACACGGTAAGGTAGTAAAGAACACAACAACACAACTACCCAACACACGATAAGGTAGTAAAGAACACAACAACACAACTACCCAACACACGGTAAGGTAGTAAAATAACACAACAACACAACTACCCAACACACGGCAAGGTAGTAAAAGAACACGACACAACAACACAACTTACCAACATCACAACTCCCCGACACACGGTAAGGTAGTAAAGAACACAACAACACAACTACCCAACACACGATAAGGTAGTAAAGAACACAACAACACAACTACCCAACACACGGTAAGGTAGTAAAGAACACAACAACACAACTACCCAACACACGATAAGGTAGTAAAGAACACAACAACACAACTACCCAACACACGGTAAGGTAGTAAAATAACACGACACAACAACACAACTTACCAACATCACAACTCCCCGACACACGGTAAGGTAGTAAAGAACACAACAACACAACTACCCAACACACGGTAAGGTAGTAAAGAACACAACAACACAACTACCCAACACACGATAAGGTAGTAAAGAACACAACAACACAACTACCCAACACACGGTAAGGTAGTAAAATAACACAACAACACAACTACCCAACACACGGCAAGGTAGTAAAATAACACGACACAACAACACAACTTACCAACATCACAACTCCCCGACACACGGTAAGGTAGTAAAGAACACAACAACACAACTACCCAACACACGATAAGGTAGTAAAGAACACAACAACACAACTACCCAACACACGGTAAGGTAGTAAAGAACACAACAACACAACTACCCAACACACGATAAGGTAGTAAAGAACACAACAACACAACTACCCAACACACGGTAAGGTAGTAAAATAACACAACAACACAACTACCCAACACACGGCAAGGTAGTAAAAGAACACGACACAACAACACAACTTACCAACATCACAACTCCCCGACACACGGTAAGGTAGTAAAGAACACAACAACACAACTACCCGACACACGGTAAGGTAGTAAAGAACACATCAACACAACTACCCAACAACACAACTACCCAACACACGATAAGGTAGTAAAGAACACAACACAACTACACAACAACACAACTACCCAACAACACAACTACCCAACACACGATAAGGTAGTAAAGAACACAATACAACTACCCAACAACACAACTACCCAGCACACGGTAAGGTAGTAAAGAACACAACACAACAACACAACTACCCAACAACACAACTACCCAACACACGGTAAGGTAGTAAAGAACACAACAACACAACTACCCAACACACGATAAGGTAGTAAAGAACACAATACAACTACCCAACAACACAACTACCCAGCACACGGTAAGGTAGTAAAGAACACAACAACACAACTACCCAACACACGGTAAGGTAGTAAAGAACACAACAACACAACTCCCCGACACACGATAAGGTAGTAAAGAACACAACATCACAACTCCCCGACACACGATAAGGTAGTAAAGAACACAACAACACAACTAACCAACACACGGTAAGGTAGTAAAGAACACAACAACACAACTCCCCGACACACGATAAGGTAGTAAAGAACACAACAACACAACTACCCAACACACGGTAAGGTAGTAAAGAACACAATACAACTACCCAACAACACAACTACCCAGCACACGGTAAGGTAGTAAAGAACACAACACAGCAACACAACTCCCCGACACACGATAAGGTAGTAAAGAACACAACAACACAACTAACCAACACACGGTAAGGTAGTAAAGAACACAACACAGCAACACAACTCCCCGACACACGATAAGGTAGTAAAGAACACAACAACACAACTACCCAACACACGGTAAGGTAGTAAAGAACACAATACAACTACCCAACAACACAACTACCCAGCACACGGTAAGGTAGTAAAGAACACAACACAGCAACACAAATTACCAACAACACAACTACCCAGCACACGGTAAGGTAGTAAAAGAACACAACACAACTACACAACAACACAACTACCCAACACACGGTAAGGCAGTAAAAAACACAACACCACAACAACACAACTATCCGACACACGGTAAGGTAGTAAAAGAACACAACACCACAACAACACAACTACCCGAAACACAATAACGTAGTAATGGAACACAACTACACAACAACACAACTACTTAAGACACGGTAAGGCAGTAAAAAAACACATCACCACAACAACACAACTACCCGACACACGGTAAGGTAGTAAAGAACACAACCCAACAACACAACTACCCAGCACACGGTAAGGTAGTAAAGAACACAACACAGCAACACAACTACCCAGCACACGGTAAGGTAGTAAAGAACACAACACAGCAACACAAATTACCAACAACACAACTACCCAGCACACGGTAAGGTAGTAAAAGAACACAACACAACTACACAACAACACAACTACCTGAGACACGGTAAGGCAGTAAAAAACACAACAACACAACTATCCGACACACGGTAAGGTAGTAAAAGAACACAACACCACAACAACACAACTACCCGAAACACAATACCGTAGTAATGGAACACAACTACACAACAACACAACTACTTAAGACACGGTAAGGCAGTAAAAAAACACATCACCACAACAACACAACTATCCGACACACGGTAAGGTAGTAAAGGAACACAACACAACTACCCAACAACATAACTACCCGACACACCGTAAGGTAGTGAAAAAAACACAACACAACTACCCGACACACGGTAAGGTAGTAAAGAACACAACACAACAACACAACTACCCGACACACGGTAAGGTAGTAAAGAACACAACACAACAACACAACTACCCGACACACGGTAAGTTTGCAAAGGGAAACCAGTTCAGTCATTTGCAACATTTACAAGTTAATAAAAAAAAACACCTAAATGTCCACTGGTAAAATAGTTCGTCTCTTTCCCTCCCTCTACCCACCCCAAAAGCATGACAGTGCCCCCAGGGTGATCTCCCCGGGGTTATTCTGCCGCTCTTTCTTGTGGACCGACCAATAATAAACCGGATACTTTCATGTCATGGTAATAAGCTGTCACGGTCGAGAATTAATGAAAATGACACTGGGTTACGTCATGTTGCGCTCACGTTGAAAAGATTTGCGCAGGGGGTGGGAGATTTGGCCGAGGCTGCTGATTTACTGAAGTAGCCGATCGGGGGTGGGGGGGTGGTGGTGGAGCGTTTGGGGTGCGTGTGTCGGGGCACCCCCAGTATTTTAACATCTGATGACAAATTGTTAACGTATTGCATAGCATGATAACATGTTGATTTGGTTAATAAAAAGAATCAATTGTTTATATAAAGTGTTTGATTTTTTTTATAAGCTTTAGGGTGGGCCCCTTTCTCCCCCTCACACACACTTACGTTACAAACGGTCTAAGAGGAACCCCCCTTTATATAATCCTGGATCCGTCTCTGTAGTGCCACCACTCTTTCTTTCACCACTGTTCACTGTGGGAATGATAGTGCTGTGTTTGTTTGTGGTCTGCATGTTTTCACTTTCCGTTCATAGATATTAACGTGTCATACACATACACAATCAGTGGACTGTCAAATTACATGGGACCAGCAGCACGACTGTTCCTCACGCGATGAAAACACGAGTCGTATAAAATAGTTCCTTTTCACCATACCATATACAGTTGGTCGACTTGGTATTTCATGGGAGTTATCACATGGTGCGTAACGCCTCAGTGTTTAACCGTGTTTGTTGTGAGGTTTGAGACGACTTTGGTCGGTAGCGGGTGACACCATGTGAATACTTGTGTTACATATCTTTTTGTAAAGCTCTTGTCAAAATGAAAGGCTGGAAGATACACCCTGTACGCATTATGCAACACTTAATACGCACCATATAATCAAAACGAAGTCTTCTGGATATACTGAAGGCCTGTTGTGTTTTTTTAATGTCAACTTCGCTTGTTGGCAGCCGTCATTATAAACCCTACCCCCGGGACATGCCGTCTGCGACGCCCCCCCCCCCCCCCCCCCCCTTTGCTGGCTTGTTGAATCATCATCATCCCAGAGACCATATACTGGTATATGGTCTCTGATCATCCCTATCAAATCCCAGTGATCAAAATCTGGAAACATGCCATTTTTATGACCTTATTACTACTTCCCAGAAGGCTGTGGTGTTCAGTCGTACTGATATATTGCCCTCGCAATGGAGTTGTGTAACCACATTTACAATGAGCATGTTTTAGACAGTTCCTCATCTTCTAAAAGGATCAAGTATACTATAAACTCCAACACACACATTTCAGTGAGGATGTTTCACAGAACAGTTGGGTGATTCTCCTGCCAGAATTGTAGGATCTGCACCCTAGTACAAAAGTACCTTGGAAATGTTCACCATCAACCAATGGGTACGCGAGAAAACAGTACAAAAGTCATATCAAACACATTTAATATTTCTAATTTTACATATAAACATGCATAACACATCTTGACAAACTTGGCGATAATAATGGAAAACACATTCACAACATGACAATCTGCTGCCTTGTTTTTCCTGGGGTAAACAAGATCCACATTTTGTAAATATCACCATGCCGCACGCGTAACTCCTGACAACTGATTGTAGTCTGCTAACTGTCGCCACACAATACGACTAATCCGCCATTTTCTTTGAACACCACGTGGCCTGGAGGTGACGACACACCGATTCCTTATCTTCACAATACTGGAGTTAGGCGGAAGGGTTGCAACCTCAGCATCAGCAAGCTCCTGAAACAATCACAGAATCATTGCTTGTTGCTTGTATTACTTCACATGCTGTTGAGAAGTATAACATTAAGTGAAAAAACTGCTGCCACTGATGAGCATAATTTTAAGATACCAAACTCTGAAGTAGGTCAGTTTGATTTCATTCATCCTCACACTTAAAAGCAGGAATATTAAAACTTTCAGATACACTTATCTGAGATATTATTTCAAATTAAGCCCCAAAAGGATTCATGTAGAACGTTCTTGATCCAGCTGGTAGGTAGAGCGAGGAAAGGATTAGTTTTTTTGAGACGTGTGTTTTAATGAGGTGAGGTGAGGTGAGGTGAGGTGAGGTGAGGTGAGGTGAGGTGAAATTGGGTTTAACGGCGTGTCCAAGATTATTGCACTTATATAGCGACGTGCATGCACGTGTGTGTGTGTGTGTGTGTGGCTGCTTGTACTAGTCCGGACTGATGATGATTTATAGTGCTAGCTGACTGAGATACCATGCCGCAGTTTAGCATGAATACCCCACTCAGACACAGTATACTGACTACGAGCAAACCAGTCCTTGTTTTAGCCTCTTAATGTCGAGCGCCAGACGGGGTAACAACAAGTACCATCTTTTAAAAGTCTTTTGGTATGAAGCGGCCAGGGATCGAACCCCGGACCTTCCGCGCCCCGGGCGGACGCTCTACCACTAGACCACGGAGGCGGTCTTGTGTTTTAATGAGTTTTCTTGACAAGTTGATGTTTAAGTAGTAAAGTTACATTCATCAATGTATCTCACTTTGGTGAGAAGTGGGATGTTGGCAACATTAGATTATACAGATCATAATAAAGAGGTACAAAATAAAGAGGTACAAAAGAAAATGCAAAAATAAGTAATAGAGGTTTCAATAAAACAAAACTCAATGCCATCTCCAACATGGATAATGGCTAAGTAATGGGCAAAAGGGAATTCAATGTGTCGTCCTCATAAACTTGAATCAAAGACCTGAGATCACGTACTGATCCACAAACATTTAACCCACCTGGGATCACGTACCGATACACAAACATTTAACCCACCTGGGATCACGTACCGATACACAAACATTTAACCCACCTGGGATCACGTACCGAAACACAAACATTTAACCCACCTGGGACCACCTACAGATACACAAACATTTTACCCACCTGGGATCACGTACAGATACACAAACATTTTACCCACCTGGGATCATGTACTGATACACAAACATTTTACCCACCTGGGATCACGTACCGATACACAAACATTTTACCCACCTGGGATCATGTACTGATACACAAACATTTTACCCCCCTGGGATCACGTACCAATACACAAACATTTTACCCACCTGGGATCACGTACCGATACACAAACATTTTACCCCCTGGGATCACGTACCGAAACACAAACATTTAACCCACCTGGGATCACGTACCGATACACAAACATTTAACCCACCTGGGATCACGTACCGATACACAAACATTTAACCCACCTGGGATCATGTACCGAAACACAAACATTTAACCCACCTGGGATCACGTACCGAAACACAAACATTTAACCCACCTGGGATCACGTACCGATACACAAACATTTAACCCACCTGGGATCATGTACCGAAACACAAACATTTAACCCACCTGGGACCACCTACAGATACATAAACATTTAACCCACCTGGGATCACGTACCGATACACAAACATTTTACCCACCTGGGATCACGTACCGATACACAAACATTTTACCCCCTGGGATCACGTACCGAAACACAAACATTTAACCCACCTGGGATCACGTACCGATACACAAACATTTAACCCACCTGGGATCACGTACCGATACACAAACATTTAACCCACCTGGGATCATGTACCGAAACACAAACATTTAACCCACCTGGGATCACGTACCGAAACACAAACATTTAACCCACCTGGGATCACGTACCGATACACAAACATTTAACCCACCTGGGATCATGTACCGAAACACAAACATTTAACCCACCTGGGACCACCTACAGATACATAAACATTTAACCCACCTGGGATCACGTACAGATACACAAACATTTTACCCACCTGGGATCACGTACCGATACACAAACATTTAACCCACCTGGGATCACGTACAGATACACAAACATTTAACCCACCTGGGACCACCTACAGATACATAAACATTTAACCCACCTGGGATCACGTACAGATACACAAACATTTTACCCACCTGGGATCACGTACAGATACACAAACATTTAACCCACTTGGGACCACCTACAGATACACAAACATTTAACCCACTTGGGACCACCTACAGATACACAAACATTTAACCCACTTGGGACCACCTACAGATACACAAACATTTAACCCACTTCCGACCACCTACAGATACACAAACATTTAACCCACTTGGGACCACCTACAGATACACAAACATTTAACCCACTTGGGACCACCTACAGATACACAAACATTTAACCCACTTGGGACCACCTACAGATACACAAACATTTAACCCACCTGGGATCACCTACAGATACACAAACATTTAACCCACCTGGGATCACCTACAGATACACAAACATTTAACACACCTGGGATCATGTACAGATACACATACATTTAACCCACCTGGGATCACGTACTGATACACAAACTTTTAACCCAGATCATGGACAGACAGACAATAAGGTCAAGCAGGATGACTTTCAGCTAGGGAAGCTTTGCAAATGAGCCATACACAAGAGTGAGTGAGGGAGTGATGGAGTTGGAACATTAGAATGAGTTAGTTGGAACAGTAGAGTGAGTGAGTTGGAACATTAGAATGAGTTAGTTGGAACAGTAGAGTGAGTGAGTTGGAACATTAGAATGAGTTAGTTGGAACAGTAGAGTGAGTGAGTTGGAACATTAGAATGAGTTAGTTGGAACATTAGAATGAGTGAGTTGGAACAGTAGAGTGAGTGAGTTGGAACATTAGAATGAGTTAGTTGGAACAGTAGAGTGAGTGAGTTGGAACATTAGAATGAGTTAGTTGGAACAGTAGAGTGAGTGAGTTGGAACATTAGAATGAGTGAGTTGGAACATTAGAATGAGTGAGTTGGAACAGTAGAGTGAGTGAGTTGGAACAGTAGAGTGAATGCGATGGTACATAAGAGTGAGTGAGTGAGTGAGTTGGTACAAGAGAGTAAGTGAGTGAGTTGAAACATTAGAGATTTTAGAACCTGTAGTTCCTTGGGAAGAATGTTGTTCTTCCTAACTGTATTAAGCCGAAGTCTCTCGGGGAACTGTTCCTGTATCATCTGCCTCCGCAGCCCGTCTCGTCTCATCCTCCAGTCTACGTAGCGTCCTCGAATCTGACTGTGTTGGACGCCAGCTGATGTGACACTTGTCGATTTCAGCAACATGGTCCCGTGTTCTAGGCCCACCTGAGATACAAAACACTCAATGACTTGGGTACCTCTGGTGGATAGCTCTACATTGTAGTTAAATCTTGTATAATCAATATGTTAATAATAATGCCAGGACATTGAATATTTCTCTCCAGGTACTATGAGAATGAGCAAAATATAAGTCGTCAAGGAAAGGTTACAGATTAGCTTCTTCTCCTTTGGCATGTGGCAATCAGACATTGTCCTGAGCGTATCTGACATAACCCTGAACCTGTCTGACATTAGAATGAATGTGTCAGACATAATGATCCTGTCAGACATTACCCAAATCATCATACTCCATAATTTCAACATATATCTGTATGTGGCATTTAAGAAGCTGTACTATCAATGAAGGCAGTGTCGACTTTGAATCATATATTCCAACTAAAATCCAAGCATTGAAGAATCAAATTGAAATCCATAAGTCAACTCTTGTTCTCATTTCAACATATGAGAGATTTTCACTGATTTCATATTCAAAAATGAAAAAAGAATGCACAGAGGTTGACACCATTTGTCTAGTAGTCCACATCTCATTTTAGACATGGTTTATGCAAAATATTTTCGGAATTTGGGGAAAACAACATTCATTTTGATGTTAACTAGTGGCCATGTCCAATTCTGATACATATTTACTTTCGTTTATAATGTTCTGATATAAATAACCTCTTGTTTTGCGTGTGAATATGTGGATATGAACTAAATACCTGTATTGTCCAGGTGGAAGCAAAATGTATTGAAAACATATTCATAAAATGATACCCTTGATTGAATATTTCTGAATTATGGTCACAAGGTGTTTGCGAAGCACACGACAAGAGCACGGGCCCCGATTGGATTAATGAAGGAACGGTGAGGAGTGAATTTGTTGAAGATGAGTTCGTAATTTGCATATCTCGATCTGATTGGGTTTCTTGGGCGTCCCGTGTTGTTATGTAACTCCAAGCTTTAACGATATAAAACAGCGCCGGGCACGAAGCTCTTTCACAAACACATTGACGTGTAACGAAATAGGATATAATACTAGACGCTGTATACATTCCAGTTATCTAAGACACAAGGTAAGTGAAAGACTTCACTTCTCACATCTTATGTCTTTGTCCATGCCATTGTACACATTTATACAAGCGGGAAAATTCATTAATGGGAAAACAGCTACCTTCATAGACCTAGTTAACGTTGAGAACATGCCATAAAAAAGCGAAGTCATTGCCCGTATTGAAAATGTTTGTTGCCAACTGACACCGAAATCATGTGGACATGGGCAGCGCCATGTTGGTGTTTGTTAAGGATGCAACATTCATGAAACAAATAAAATATAGTATGACACAATGTATGCTCAACTTCTTTAAACTATTGTCTGATAACCCTAAATGCGTTAAATTATTAAAGCGTTACACACTTTTTGTTTATGGAATTTCAGTGAGGAGAAAATTATTAATTCGTAAAACAAACACTGCTTTATATCTTCATATAAAATTACTCGTACGCCAAGTACAATTCATTTTAACCGGATGTTACATATTCTGTGGCAATGCCTCGACAGTGACGTCAATAGGGGGTACCCCTCTAGGCCCGGTATATATATCACGTGACTTCCTCCTATCAGTCCTTTTACTTGCGGTGGCATCCATTGAGAGCGAGGTGAGAATGTATGGGAATGTAAATCCTTGTTAAATCTAGACTTATTTCTTGTCATCTCCCTTTGTGGAAACAGATACTGTCTGAATGAACAACATGCCGACCAATGGTGACTTTTTGTGTAGCTGTATACTTGTATTATCGTGTATTTTCGAGATGCCGGCTGCACCTGCCGCGACTCATTTCTACCACGTCGACATGCCGGTAGGAAGGCTGTACCTCAACTTGTTACATATGGTTTATTTTTCTGGATATAATTAGTCTGTGTTGCTTTTCAAAATATTTGCCTTGAATTTACGGATTAGTTACCAAGTAGGTGTTAATTCCCGAAATAATTTCAACATTTCTTAAAGTAAAAGTGAAGTCTAGTCTAATGGTAAATTATGAGAATTATTTTATTGGCGTAAAATGTATGGCCCTTTTTGGAATAACGCGTCTGCAATGTTCTTACGTGCCTACTAGCCTATCGCAGCGACGATACAATGTTTGGGTCAATTTGGGGGGGAAATATGGTAGCACCGGTAGACTGCGCCGGTGATAGGTATTGTCTCAGATGTAGACACAAATTGCTGGTTTACATATCAAATGTGGTATTTAATTTATGATGGTTGTGACTGTGACGGTCTCTCATCGTGAATCTTATCCATGTTATGGTCAGTTTTAGAATCTCGACTCCTTTCATGACAAATAGTCGTCCGCCATCTTTGATACCACGTGGTCTGAGGAATGGTGACAGTGAATGTAAGATATGTAGGTGTGTCCACTATAACGTTTGCCCACGCGGTTTTGTTATTAATATATCGCGGCCCTATATCTCGTATTGATTGGAGCCTTTCTATGTTTTAAGTTATGGCTGTATTTTGTTCCCCAGCATCCAAGCACTAACGAACCATGGGAAAGGACAAGATCCACATCAATATTGTGGTCATTGGCCACGTAGATTCTGGCAAGTCTACTACCACTGGCCATCTTATTTACAAGTGCGGTGGTATCGATGAGAGAACTATCCAGAAGTTCGAGAAGGAGGCTCAGGAAGTAGGTTCTTTATTTTTCTTTAAATTTTCAAACCATTTACAGAAATGGCTACAGAAACTATCAGTTTTTTTCCACTAGTCCTTATAACATAGCAAAATCCATGAAAAAGGTTATTTTTTACTAGTCCTCCGGATACCTAACTATTGGACAGTTAAGAGTAAAGGACTAGTGCCAATTTCTAACGCTGCAGCAACTAAGTATGGAAGATGCAATGTTTGTTTTTTGTGCTGATAGTATATGGTTTTATTTTCACTTGTAGATGGGCAAAGGTTCCTTCAAATATGCCTGGGTGTTGGACAAACTGAAGGCCGAGCGTGAACGTGGTATCACCATTGACATTGCTCTCTGGAAGTTTGAGACCACCAAATTCTACATCACCATCATTGATGCCCCTGGTCATCGTGATTTCATCAAGAACATGATCACAGGAACATCTCAGGTGGGTTTACAATCGAGATTCATGTGATCCATGGTTTGGACATGTTCATTTCATACTGAGTAGGCAATGTTTGTCAATGAATTTCTTTGGTTGGTATGGTTTTGTAAGTAGCAAGTACACTTTCCACTGCCTTTGATTACTGTTTGTACTGTTTAGTTTCGTGTTGACTTGATTCTGGCTGCTGCAAAGAAACTAGGATAGTTCTTACTGGGCAGCATACGAAATGATATTCGGTCTCTTCTAAGTAAATCTTGTATGCAGGGTTTTATCATTGTTTGGGGATGACTTTGGAAAATACATGGTAAAATCATTAAATGTCTATTGCAATTATTAATAATGAACCTTATTGATTACCAAGGATAGAAAATGATTTGTCTGGAAGATACATTGGTATCTATGATCTGAAATGTGCCGACACTATCGAATATTAGGTTATTACTTGTAGATTTTGAAAATGCATTTGATAAAGTTATTGAAATATTGAATAGAAATAGTGTACGCCGATTCACTGAGTGATAATGTAGTGCTTAGAGCATGCTTGTGGGTGTGGATATGGTGTAATGGGCACAATTAATCATGTTCTCAAGGTGAATTGTGACTTGCTATATTTCAGGCTGATTGTGCTGTTCTGATCGTTGCCTCTGGTGTTGGTGAGTTTGAAGCTGGTATCTCCAAGGAGGGTCAAACCCGAGAACATGCCCTGCTGGCTTACACCCTTGGTGTGAAGCAACTCATCATCGGCGTCAACAAGATGGACAGCACTGTGCCACCATACTCGGAGGTAAGTGGCAATTCTAATACACCCTCTTACAGCATGCAGAACCCAGATGTTCATGGATCTAACCTATGCAAGTGTGCTTGGACATTTTGTACTGTAGATAAACATCAACAATGACACAGCACACAGAAACCAAGTCTAATTCTTAGCCCACCATGATGCCAAGTAATTTTGTTAGACAAATAACAGAAAGTTATGGCACTTCCCAAATCATGTTATCTCTAATTTAATTTTGTGGTCAGGTCAACAAGTTTTTCACTCGTATCACAACATATGAGGAAGATGCTAGTTTTAATATTTGTAGATGTTATTCACTGAACACATGAATTAAAGTTTTGAGTTCCCCAAATAATATATTTTCTACCAGTCTGCTTGCCAATTGCTTAGTTTGTAATCATATATGAATTATTGGTATACAAATGTAGGTAATGTAGTTTCTTGTTTGACTCGTTTATATTTTGTAAAAATGCAAATATTCTCCTGAAGTATTAACTTCGGTTACTTGGCAGAATGAAGACACATTCTTTGAACAAATGGATTCTATTTCATAGTAATATTTAAATGTCTGACCAGTCGCCATTTCTAGAAATGTGTACATTTCACTGAATGGCTACGGGTTAATTTTCATGAATACCAAAACATTGAGTGCTGATATGTTTACAACTTGAATTAGAATTACGAAACCTGTCCCTAAAATTTGTAATATTTCTGAGTGGACTTGTACCTATCTACTTGTAGTTGGTAACAATGCTGCTAGTCATCCATTGTTCACTAATTAGCTTAATTGTGGACCCCCTTGCTTCATTTATTCCACTGCCAATGTTAACTTTCAGCAAGATGTTATTAATCCTGCATCTTTAATTATTGTTGGGATAGTACTTGACACTAGCCCAGGGCTAGTCAGTTTCCCCAGTTTACACATTACAAGGTCATTTTCTTTACCAAGGCTAGCAACTCTTTGGAATTTATTTCTTATCCTTTTTCCCATTTAGGCACGATATGACGAAATCGTGAAGGAAGTGTCTGGCTACATCAAGAAGATTGGATACAACCCCAAGGCTGTTGCATTTGTGCCAATCTCTGGCTTCCATGGTGACAACATGCTTGAGCTATCTGATAAGATGAAATGGTTCAAGGGCTGGGCTGTAGAGAGGAAGGAGGGCAATGGCAATGGCAAGACCCTGTTTGAAGCTCTTGACAGCATCCTCCCCCCACAAAGACCCACAGACAAGGCCCTGCGTCTCCCCCTGCAGGATGTCTACAAGATTGGCGGTACGTATTCTAGTTTCATACTCTAAAACTTTCAAGTTATGTGTATAGTGTTTATAAATAGGACCAAAATAGTCATCTGTAATCAAAGGTGTGGTCTTTGGCAAATGTTTTAGTATATTTATTCCCCAACTTCAGGATACCTTTTTTGAAAATAACCACTAAGGTAATGTTTTCAATGTATTTGTCTTTCTGTAATATTGACTGTCAAGTGGGCCCCAACTTAGACATAGTAGCTCTTGGAATAGCACTGGTCACATTTGAGGTGCCTACAATTTCATCATGATTTTTATCAATTTAGAGTATTGAATGTAAAAGTGAACTCGAGGGGTGTGGGTGAAAAATGGCTTTTTAAAAGGACTTTAAGTAATTTACTTTCCAGATTGCATGAGAATTTGAGGTCCTGTCCGATGCACTATATGAACTCTTATGAATAGTTCTTTTAGAAATATTTGGTAGTTGCTGATTTTTTATTAAATCATTTAGCAAGTGAAAATGTTTACCGTTTTCCAAATGTAAATGACATTCACTCCGGGTACTACTAAAAATGGCAATGTTGCCCACTATGCCCGTCAGCAATAGAAACTTAAAAAAAACCGGACTAACTTTTCCATGCTACAAGATTTTAGCTGGTGACCCAAGTCGTAGAAGAATGAATAAAGTGTCTTGGCCATGTTTGAAAAGTTGAAAGTGGTTTTTTTCATAGGTTCACATGCTTTGCACATAAGACAAAATTCAGTCTGACATGTCTTGCCAGAATTACCACTGACAAAATAGTAACAAAATTACAATTGCTAATTTTATAAATATCCTACTATTGATAGGTTGTAAATAGGGTTAGGTACCTGATGATGCACAGCTACTGAAAAAGATAACGAGTGCACTTTACATTTCAGAGCCATGTTCTTTCAGATTAATTTTTTTCATGATTCTCTCTACTTCCAGGTATTGGAACTGTGCCTGTTGGACGAGTTGAAACTGGTATCCTTAAGCCCGGTATGATCGTCACCTTTGCCCCATCTGCACTCACAACTGAGGTATGAAACTATTGAACTTTATCAGACAATGTTATTGCATGTCCCCAGCAATATATCCTTATCTTAACAGGCTACCAAATGGAATGGGTGGTCTCAGTGACTTGCTGCTTATCTCAGTACATTGATCGCATGGATCATTTCTCATGGTATCTTTCACTAGATTGTCTGCTTTCAGACTGGCGTTGTAGAGCTGGAATGTTGCCGAGTGCAGCATTAAAAACCACTGTTTTACCTGATATTTTAAAAAAATGTCAGTTTGGTAGCCCAGATTGTCAATGTCTACAATTTCTTGTATAATATGAAAACAACATACAAAAGGCAAATATTTGGATAGTATGTTTGCTGGCTAAGTTAACACAACTTGAGTGTTTTCCTTTGACATTTTTCAGGTGAAGTCCGTTGAAATGCACCACGAGTCCCTCCCCGAGGCTCTGCCTGGCGACAATGTTGGCTTCAATGTGAAGAACGTCTCCGTCAAGGAACTTCGTCGTGGCTTTGTCGCTGGTGACAGCAAGAATGATGCTCCCAAGGAGTGTGCTAGCTTCTATGCTCAGGTTGGTTTCCATTCTTTGGGTTTAGTGTTCCAGCAATAGAAACTAACAGATTTGTCCTTTAATCCTTATAATAAAATGGCCAAACCCTTAAAAAGATCAAGTTTCCACTAGACAATTTGATGCCTTAATTCTTTGGCAGTTTGGCAGAAGAGTAATGCCAATTTCTAACATTGTTACAAAATTTAATGTGCGTGTGTGATTGGGTTTAGAAAGCCCCATTTGCTATTGTGTTTTTGGCTCCTTATCAGACTTGTCTGTATTATGTGATGTGATGTGAAATCATCCTGTGCCCTAGGGCTTGATGCAATTAGGTCCTTGTTGCTCATACTATTTGAAGTAACTTTTTTAAAAGTATCTTATCAATTTGCCCATGCCATGAACTTGATTTTTCAAGTCTATTGGGACCATGGTTAAATTATGGATGGCATATGTCATTGTACTTGCAGAAATGAGATTGTAATACTGAGCTGGGCATAATTTGTCTTTTATTTCCTAATTTGCCTGACAAGGGTACTTAGTTTGGAATCCCAGATAAATCCCCGACTTCCAAGTATCCTGAGGTCAGCTTCATGTTACTTAAAACATTGTCACTTTAGCAGAGGTATTTTTGGAACTCCTTGGATGTTTGTTACTGGACCACTTTTGCTTCAGGTTATCATCTTGAACCACCCCGGCGAGATCAAGAATGGTTATTCCCCAGTTTTGGACTGCCACACAGCCCATATTGCTGTGAAATTCAGCGAGATCAAAGAAAAGTGTGATCGTCGTTCTGGCAAGAAGCTGGAGGAAAACCCCAAAAGTGTCAAGTCTGGTGATGCAGCTATGATTGTCTGCCTTCCCAGCAAGCCCATGTGTGTGGAGGCTTTCTCCTCATACCCACCACTGGGACGTTTCGCCGTCCGTGACATGAAGCAGACAGTTGCTGTTGGTGTCATCAAGGAGGTCACCAAGAAAGAGGTTACAGGAAAGACCACCAAGGCCGCACAGAAGAAGAAATGATTAGCTCGGGATAAAGACCCGTGGCTCGCCAAGGGCAAAGCAAATTATAACATCGGAACCATCAGTCTGCTTATTGTAATCTGTTCAATGGAAATGCTCGCTCAGCTTGTTTTAATTTCTTGGTCTACATGGTTGCTACAATCTAAATTGCACCGAAAAGAATTTAGAAGGAAAAGAATCCTTGGACATTAAGGACTTAATTTTATTGCCACACTTCAAACGAAAAAAAATAAAAAATGTCAAAGTAATTACTGCTTTTTTTTCATTTACAAGGGTCCCTTGTGCTTGTTGGAGCTAAGATGGGGGATGGATAGTCTGCATGTAACCTAGCTTGATCAGTCATGATTTGCCCGTTCCAGGGTGTGGAAATTGTGTGGATCGATGCTCATGATATAAATCACTTGATTGCCTGGTACAGACTCGGTTATTTACAGGCCGTGCGGCGTTAAACAAAACCAATCCAGGGTGTGCTCTTACAACATTGCTGATTTTGACAGTTTTCTTTCATTGGAAAGGTTCTGCAATAGGCTCACAGGGCAGAAATGAATCTTGATCTGGGAAATATTTCAAATTGTGGAAGGTCGATGTCTAAGAATTTTAACCATTGTATTTTACACTGCACTTGGCAATATTCCAGCTATGTGAGAGCAGTATGTTAATATAGTTGAGTCCTGAGCATTGATCTATGCATTTAGGATACAAGGTGCAACAACCAATCCCTTTAGTTGCCTCTTACAAGCATGGTTGCTGAAGGCTAATCCCTTCATGGTTGAAACATTAGTTGGTTGGTTGTTTATCGCTGCACTCTGCAATATTCCAGCTATATGACTGTGGTCTAAATAATCGAGTCTGGACCAGCCAATCCAGTGATTGACATTATGAGCATCGATCCGCGCAATTGGGATCGATGACATGCATCAACAAAGTCAGCGAGCCTGACCACCCGATCCCGTTAGTCGCCATTTACGGCAAGCATGGGTTGCTGAAGACCTATTCTACCCCGGAATCTTCACGGGTCTGAAACATTAGTGTGGCGTGTAGATTGGTTATGGTAGTCCTGAGTAATTTGGAGTAAAAGTATAGAATTTGTACTAAATTTCTAAATATGAAACATAATCTTATAATTTCCTGTTTGACACTACAAAATGAAGTACACTGCCAAGCTAGGAAGACTCGGGTAACATGTTTCTCAATGCTGACGTTTGTAAAATTGTACACACGTATACATACTATGACGCTCGACTTGACCTGCAAACGTTTATTGACAGTCTTAAGCTTGGATCTAATTACTTGAACTAATGTATATTATATTTCCAGTATTTACCCAACTCTGAATAGAGCCCAAACACATTTTCGTGATCAAATTTTTATACTTTTATTGACCAAGTTTGTTAAACCTGTTTATTCACCTTCAATTCGCTGATGGGATACGATATGTTTTTGTTTTGAAAGAGCACATGAATACTCGATAAATCCCTTTTTTTTTTTTGTTACACTGTGAATCGACTTCTATACTAATCTTTACTTTATGCTCGCAAACGTGCAACGTTAGATCGTGTTAGGTATACAGAGAATGTATACTGTTTTGTTGGTCATCTACGACTCTATCTTCGTTAAACCGCTGATTATCTATAACGCTCATCAATTATTTGCACACCACAAGGTAGCGAGAGATCACTAACTGAAAGTATTGTTGACCGCTTGCTTCGGTACGATTAAGACAATGTGCGGATCTACGTAGAGGGGAATGTCCGAGTAGTAGTTGAAAATATTTGAAAAATAAACAAGAACTCTTTGTTGTCTGTATTTATTCTGCGTGAGTCGACCTTGCGTGATGCACGAGGAATGCCTTCCCTGCCGCTGTTGCACGTGCGCCCAGCTCCGTCGCGAGCTGACATTTACAATGCATGGTACACGGTTCTTCATTTTGTTGGGTCCTCAACTAGTATTTATCAATCGCTTGCACATTGTTAACACATGCTGATGAGTATAATTGGAAAATATAGAGCCCCGAACAAGCGATATTTGTGTTACCTAATTTGTTTTTTCTCGTCAAAGGTTTATCTAACTGCTATAAATATGAACATTGTTGTGGGTAACCTGCTCTAACACAAAATATATACATATTATTTTGAGCTTTTAAGCATTATGCAAAATTATGAAAATATTTAATAGTTAATATCACATCATGCCTTCATGTGCCGCAGTAGCTGAGATTGACAATTACACGCTTTCAAATCTAACGATGCGGGTTCGAACCCCGCTGGCGACACATGTTTTCGGAAAAAAATGAAAATATTCACTTGTAAATAAATGTAAAAAAATAGTTCCGTCTGTTCCATGTGGAAATTAATTCAAATGTTTCTTGACAAGCAACTCTCCATTCCTGAAAAATAATGGAGCGTTCAAACAATTGAATGACGTCACAGATGTGTTTTAATTGTGCAGCTTTTCACTCGCTTGAAAATAAATCGGAACACAATTGTGTTCGATCTGAATGGTATATTATATATATTGGGAACAAACCTCACCGCTCATCATTTAATGCGTTATATTAGTACAGCACTTGGAAGGACAGATACCCCTATAAATATATACGTAGCAGGTGTACATTGCCATTCGCGGCTCAGCTGTTCACAGTGGACTGCCTCCGAGCCGGCCAGTCATTTCCTCCCTTAATGCTAAACGCCAGGCAAGGAAACAACAAGTACCATCTTATAACAGCTTTTTGTATGACAGGCCGGAAATCGATCCGCAGACCTTCCGCTCTCCGGGCAGACGCTCTAACCTCTAGACCACGAAGCCGGTCTCCTGGCAGACGCTCTACCCACTGGACCACGAAGACGGTCTTCTGGCAGACGCTTAGATGTCAACTGTGTTACACGACTTAAGGACATAAGGAGTTCCTTCGCGTATCGTATTGGCCAACGCTTTTTCTGTTGGTGTATTCGTTGGATTATCCCGGTCAGGGGGAGTAAACAATATTATTCCCTTCAAATGATATGTTTAAGTAAACCAGGTGAAATGAAACGCCTCCGTAGTCTTGTGGTAGAGCGCCTGCCCGGAAAGGTTAAAATATGGTCCTTGCTGCTACCCTGCCCGGCACTCGGCATTTAGGGGACTGTCGGCCCTGCGTCCGTATACTGTCTAAGTGGGACACACACACACACACACACACGCGCGCGCGCGCACGCGTGGCATGCACGTCGCTATAAAAGTGCAATAATCTTGAACCTGACGTTAAACCCGATTTCACCTCTCCTCACCCCATCAGCTGATACTAGCTGTAAGACATAAACTATTCACAAAACTACAGAACATAAAGTTTAATTATCCACTACCCGCACACCCCATTATCCAGAGTTTTATATCTCCATTCTAGTATTATGATTATCAAAACAGAATCCCCAATCTTAAGTTTTGTTGTTTAACGCCGCACTCAGCAATATTCGAGCTATATGGCGGTGTTTTGTAAATAATCGATTCTGGACCAGCCAATCCAGTGATTGGCATGAGCATCGATCCATGCAATTGTGATCGATGACATTCATCAACCAAGTCAGCGAGCCTGACCACCCGATCCCATTACTCGCCTCTTACAACAAGCATTGTTGTCTTTTATGGCAAGCATGTGTTGCTGAAGACCTATTCTATCCTAGATCCTCCCCGGCTATCTATCGGCTTGTGATGTCATGCCCTGTGCATAAAATATTTCACGCACACTTCTAAATGTATATCATGTCTATAAATCTGTAAAACTTGCCCAGAAGGCGGTGGCTCATGGGCCAATCTGGTGATGCTGACCTCCGAAATCTGTACTTCTCCAATAGATTGTCATGGGCCGAACCAGCCTGCATGACCTTTCATTTGGTAGAGTGCTATAGCTCTTCGTGTCAAATTAGCTGGAGTATACCACTCCTTTATCCCCAGTCTTTGCAGCTTGGAGATCCGCTGCAGCATAAGATTGTCCTTGTTGACACTCCATCGTGGGTGGGGAAAGGGGGTGCAGCATTACATTACATTCGACATAGCTTCCCAATACACTGGTTCAAAAAGACGTCACATTGAATCTGATGAGACTACTACGCCCACTCGATCCGACTTTTGGCCACGTTTCTTTGTTATAGAAGCTTTAGACAACGAACCAATCAAACTGAATCCATTTGCAATCTCCAAAGGTATAGTTGGTATCTGTGGAGAGGTTACAAATGTTACAAAGCTTCGTTCTGTAGAGTGTGCACGGAGACAACAATCTGTCAATTTTCTCAAATTAAACGAGTTTGTCAATATGAAGGTTGTTGTCTCAGTGCACAAGACAGAACTTGCTGCCTGTCCGGCATGTTCAAAGACGATATAGCCAAGGAACTTAAACAACACTAGGTCACAGCTTTACTTTACTCCAACCGACCAGCACCTACCTCTTTACTTTCACCCGAACGTCTATCCCTCTATCGATCAAAGCTGGTTACTGTAACAATGGAGTGGAGGTGTATATCCCCAATCCACTCCGGTGCTACACCTGCCAAACGTTTGTACATGGACCCAAGTCCTGCCTCTGCTGTTTGTTACCGATGTGGTGACAAGCACAAGGCCACTGACTGCAGGAAGGAGGTGAAGTGTGCAAACTTTGGTGGGAACCATATGGCCTCTGCAAAATCCTGCCCTGTGTGGAAACGTGAATCACAAATTATAAAAATCAAAACTGAACATAATCTCTCGTGCCATGAAGCTAAGAAGAGAGTTGTAGGTATTATCATAACCACTTCTACTCTCTCTTACTCTGCTGCTGTCTCTCGTCCTCCTGTCACTACTGCCTCTATCGACTGCCAGACTGATCTGACATGAATCAAGTCTGTCACAACTGCCTCTATCGACTGCCAGACTGATCTGACATGGGTCAAGTCTGTCACTACTGCCTCTATCGACTGCCAGACTGATCTGACATGGGTCAAGTCTGTCACTACTGCCTCTATCGACTGCCAGACTGATCTGACATGGGTCAAGTCTGTCACCACTGCCTCTATCGACTGTCAGACTGATCTCACATGGGTCAAGTCTGTCACTACTGCCTCTATCGACTGCCAGACTGATCTCACATGGGTCAAGTCTGTCACCACTGCCTCTATCGACTGACAGACTGATCTGACATGGGTCAAGTCTGTCACCACTGCCTCTATCGACTGCCAGACTGATCTGACATGGGTCAAGTCTGTCACCACTGCCTCTATCGACTGCCAGACTGATCTGA